GCACATAGATATAGCTGGGCAGGAAGAGATTCATTCAGAGAAGTCTATTATGCAAAAGGAAAATTGAAATGGAAGTTAAAGGTGTGAAACAATCTAAAATCCATCTGATGCTCTTTGAAAAGACAATATGTTTGGCCTGCTCTTAAATTGGAAATTAAATTGTTTTTAACTCCTAAACTTTGGAATATCTAATAGAAAAGTGTTTTGTCTCCTTATGTATAATTCTCATTTGCAAAGAGAAGGATACGGTCCATGACCTGGTTGCCAGGCAACCGCACGGAATTACAAAACATTTTCTTAAGATGTGCTGCCCTGCGGTATGACGAGTCCGCACAGGGAAACAGGCCCAGTGACACGGTTCTCTCTGAACCTGATCATAAACGAGCTGGAGAGTATTCTAGAGAGACCAAGTAAGCGTGACTGTGACTTAAATCGTATAAACTGAAGTTCCTTTATGACCATGTTCTTTATAATGTTGAGTAACTATGAAACAGAGGAAATACAAAGGTCTGTTTAGCTTCGTCCCAGTGCTGGGATGTGAAACTACTCACTATTACGGCTGGAAGGAAAGAATGGTTATTGATCCAGTGAGGGAAAATATACACACATCTGCTAGTGTCAAGCAATGGCAGTGCTTGGAGGGATTATTGTGAGGGAGTTCTTTGCTTTCTTTTCAAAATCCTTTACTTTTACCACACAAACTCTTATACATTCCAACATCCTCTTTAAAACACTATTTTCTTTTAGTCCACATATAAATTTAAAAGAAATTTCCTTTCAAACTGAAAAGATGTTAAAAAGTTTTTGAACTTTAGTTGTCTGAGATACAACTACCAAGGATAGATTTCACTTCAGATGAATACCAACCTCTCAGTACAAGACTCTTCAGAATAGTAATATTTATTAAGCCATACCTCCAAAATATATCAGATATATCTACAACATATACAGATCAAAGATTAATTTATCCATCATTACTTTTCTAAATTCTGTATCATGTGGATTAGTCTAAATATAGTAGGTATGAAGATAAGCAGGGATTCCCCCAGTCAGCATCTTCAAGAAGTGAAACTGTTAATCATTCTGAAAAAAAGAGGCAATCGATGGCCCATCTGAAGGTAGTCAAGTAATCCTCAGATTAGCCATAACTGATTTCTACAGCTTTAATCAAAGCAAGAGGATTAATTCTCCCCACCAATATGCCTTTAGTCATTTCTGTCTCACCTGATCTCCACAGTCACCTAGGAAAAGGGATGTACAAAAGTGAAAACACACATGCATGCAAACATATCCCAGACCACAATCCCATCGCTAGAGTAAAGCTTCTAACAATAAATCTTTTGGAAACAAAACAAAACAAATGAAAAATAACCTCACAACACCCCACCCATCCCAATATTTTGTGCTGTGTTTCTGATGGTAAACAGATTTATTACATTAATTATCTGGTGGTGAAATACCAATTAAATTATGCACATTCCCGAAAAGCAGGGGGCTACTCAACCGTTCACTGGTTCAATGTATGTTATACTCCCCCCCACCTCCCCCGCTATACAGTTGCTGACTTACAAGGCACCTTTTCTTCATGCAGTGGACACCAACCCCAAGCCACTTCTTGACACAGCAGTAATAAGCAGTTCTAACATTAGTAGATGTGCTGTCAGCACTGATGAATTCTTCAGAAAGGTGAAATGAATGCCAAGTAGGCCAGGTTACCTCATTCCCCTGGGACACGTACGTGAAGATCCATGTCCTTTCTAGACAGGTGACTGGAACAGTTTAAGTGACATTTTCAACCGATAACTCAGATACTTCAACTAAGGTGTCTCATATGCAAAGAAAGATTGGTTTTTGACATAACTAGAAATTAGCGCCAGCTGTAGATATGGCAGGATCACAAGTCTCTTGCTCACTGAAAACGTGGCCCACATTTGCCTGAAAAAAATTTATATTGTATTTGATAGGTACAATTTGATGATGATTGATTTTAGGATCAATTGTGAAAAGCCACATACCTTCTGATTATTTTGGTGCCAGGAGTTTGCTTCTTCTGACACTTAACATGGATAATCTTTTATTTGACAGTAGTGCAACTTTGCTGAGCAGTACTTTGCCAACATTTGGTCAGCTTATGAGTTTTTGTTCTTTTTAAAGTAGTTGAAATTTCTCTAGGAAGAGAAACCTACCATTCTGCAACAGCTACCTTTGAGTAGAGGAACATCTACAAAGCATCTGGGTGAAATATTATTCACACCAGCAAGGAAAAGACAGCTGTTGGACGAGACTGTTGCAGGATAGTTAAAACCTTAAAAGCCAAAACTGGAGCAGAGCGCATCACTAAATGAAATAAAAATGTGTCTATTTGCTTTTTAAACTGACTCAAAAGAGAGGAAAAGCAAACCAATATAAGTAAACTACTTTCAATCTAGTAAAAGCTGTAGTGTGCTGCTGTGTGCAGTAAAAAGAAGGCAAGAGTTTACAAGTTACAACTGCTTAAAACACTTCATGCAAGAAGAAAGCATAATAGCATTGCGTCAGGCAATTAACTGTTCCTACGGCACCAGTTTTTGAGAGATCTGTATCTCAACAAGATAAGGCGTATGAATTCCTAAATTAGACCAGTAATAACATACACACAAAGAAGCAAAAGCATTCTCTCTTCCTTCTTCTCTCTTCCTTTCTGCTTTCTCGCCTGTGTGTGACAAGGTGTGTGGGAAGCTGCCAGAAGCTTCCCCTATGTCTGATGGAGCCAGTGTCAGCCAGCTCCAAGATGGACCTGCCGCTGGCCAAGGCCAAGCCCATCTAGCCATAGTGGTAGCACCTCTGGGACAACATAGTTAAGAGGAGGGAAAAAAAAATTGTGGTGGAACAGTAGCGGGAGAGAGGAGTGGGAATATATGAGAGCAGCAACCCTGCAGTCAGTGCAGAAGGAGGGGCAGGAGGTGCTCCAGGCACCGGAGCAGAGGTTCCCCTGCCGCCCCTGGAGCAGCCCATGGTGAGGCAGGCTGTGCCCCTGCAGCCCATGGAGGCCCACGCGGGAGCAGAGACCCACCTGCAGCCTGGGGAGGACCCCACGCTGGAACAGGGGGATACCTGGAGGAGGCTGTGACCCCGTGGAGAGCCCACGCTGGAGCAGGTTTGCTGGCAGGATTTATGACCCTGTGGGGGACCAATGCTGGAGCAGCCTGTTCCTGAAGGATTGCACCCTGTGGGAAGGACCCACGCTGGAGAAGTTCATGGAGAACTGTCTCTCATGGGAGGCACCACAGGCTGGAGCAAGGGCAGAGTGTGAGGAGTCCTCTCCCTGAGGAGGAAGGAGCGGTAGAGACAGTGTGTAATGAACTGACCACAACCCCCATTCCCTGTCCCCCTGTGCCAGTAGAGGTGAGGAGCAGCAGAAAATGGACGGAAATTGAGCCCGGGAAGAAAGGAGAGGAGGGGGGGGGAGGTGTTTTAAGATTTTGGTTTTATTTCTCATTACCCTACCCTGATTCGATTGGTAATAGATTAAACTATTTCCCCCAAGTTGTGTCTGTTTTGCCTGTAATGGTAATTGGTGAGTGATCTCTCCCTGTCCTTATCTCAACCCACGAGCCTTTCATTAGATTCTTTCTGCCCTGACCAGTTGAGAGGGGGAGTGAAAATAGTGGCTTTGGTGGACACCTGGCATTCAGCCAGGCTGAACTACAACATTGTCTTAGGGTACATGACCCATGAGAAACTGATAGAATCCTAGGTATCATAGAATCATAGAATCACTAAGGTTGGAAAAGACCTCAAAGATCATCAAGTCCAACCGTCAACCCAACACCACCATGCCTGCTAAACCATGTCCTGAAGTGCAATATCTACGTCTTTTGAAGACCTCCAGGGGTGGTGACTCAACCACCTCTCTAGGAAGCCTATTCCAATGTCTGACCACTCTTTCTGTAAAGAATTTTTTCCTAATAACTACTCTAAACCTCCCCTGATACAACTTGAGGCCATTCCCTCTCCTCCTATCGCTAGTTACTTGGGAGAAGAGAACAACACCCACCTCGTTACAACCTCCTTTCAGGTAGCTATAGAGAGCAATAAGGTCTCCCCTCAGCCTCCTCTTTTCCAGACTAAACAATCCCAGTTGCCTCAGCGGCTCCTCATAAGACTTATTCTCTACTCTCTTCACCAGCAGTCACAGAGCTTACCCCAATCAAAAAGGCCCTCTGCTGTAGTGACCAAAGGCCATCTGTAGTGGACAGAGTAGGGTTTTACCATTTAAAGTGTATTGATCTTGTTGAGATCAGCACAATTATAAGGGATGGAACTGACTTCCCATGACTGGTACTTAAGCTATGAAAGTGTAACTCCATTCCACCGGCAAAAATTTTTGTTTGGATCCTAAAAGCCATGACTCTTATCTCCATCCCTTTAACTCTGCATTTCTGTCAACGCTTCAGTGCTCAAAAATGGACTAGTTGTGATAGCAGTTAGAAAAAGAACCCAACCACCAAACATCTTTTATTTAATTAAGTAAGCAGATTTGAAATGGTATTATTGAAAGGTAATGGACCCCTACCGTTCCGTTTTTACAGCTGCTCTTACGAGTTGTATTGTACTTCAACTATGTTTACACAGATATTTTTTTCCCCACATTAACTGCCCCTTAATTCTTAACTTGATTTAAAACATAATCTGCCATAAAGGTACATGAAATAGAACAGACTGAGAAAATACTTGAGAATGGCTGTTGTTGACGAAGAAATTAATTTATAGTATGCAGTTACTGATCAGGTAGAACAAGAGTTTGAGAACTGGACTGTATTACAAAGCATTTCTTCAAACATCCATTTTGGATTATTGCTGAAAAGTACTAATTGGTCTATTCTAGACTAATTTACAAACATTCATAAAATAGTGAAAAATGCATGCTTTAGAAACCTGGTACATTTCATGCCCCTGGACTAAAAAGAAGATGAGGATGGAAGCAAGTGATGGGCATTTTTAGTGTAGATCAGTAGTGCTTAGAGGGTTTTTTCTTTTGTACTAACAGACTCTTCAAGTTTTCTCTCATTTCTTTCAGGTGATTTTTTATCTTCGGGTTTAATCCATGGAGGGCTGTGCAACTTCTGTTGAAGGTGAAAATAACATCAATGTCAGCACTGCATACATGATATGCACATAAATGAGCAAATTAAAAAGTATGTTACAAATCCACGGCAATAGTGCACACAGAGCTGTATTTCTGTTCAACGGATGTACCAGTCTTCAACAACTATAAAAGAATATCATATCTGTCAACTGTGTCTAGAGAAGGATTCTGATCTCTACTAAAAACACATATTTAACAATCTTTGACAGTGCAAAACCATGCAAGTGTAATGCTGCTTTATAATCACATGATTTTTATCTTTTTCTTTTGGTCTATCAAACGAAGAGCTCAGATGTACAACTTAAGACTTTTCTGTTGGTAATATGGCTGAATGTAGCTTCACATAATTGCAGATACAGAATTATTTTGGAAATCTCTTGCCTCTCCTGCTCCCAGGGCTATGGACATCATGTTATTAAATTAAGTCATCTGACTACTAGCAGAGTCCAGTTCTTCAAGTATTGTATAGTTTTGCAAATTGTTACCAGCCAGGAGCCATTTTGAACAGATGGTTGCAATTAGGTATCGTCAAGAGTCTGAACTGAGTAAGCAGTTGTGTTTCAAAAGCATTAGCGTGGAATACATAAATATCCTTCAAATAACTGCATTATTTACAAGACCTTTTAATAAAGTCCCAAGAATTCCTGAGAAACAGAGTACCTGAAAGCTTGTCTCTGTTTCTGCTGTCTTCAAACGAGATGTTGAATTACTGCGATTCCCCAAACATGTCTTGCCAACCTGTCAATACAGATGTCAGAGATAACTACTTCATATTTTTTCCTAAAATATTCATGCTTTTCCTAAAAAGAAATCACAGGGTTTTCTTTCAGCCTAGTTGATCAAACGGAACAGAGCAAAGCTATCACAGCTAAGTGAATCCCATACTCCCATCAATCCTATAATAGTCTAACGTGGCTGTAAATTTAACAACTTAACACTTATTTAGCGTTTTTTTTTTCATCACAAACAGCGAAGTTTGTTACTACAGTGGTCTCATGGAACAGATAAGTAACTGCAATTGTTATGGGTGAGGAAGTAGTAACAAATAACTGAAGTAACAAATAGCTGAAAATTAGTGTTACATTCAGAACTTCTCTATTACTATTATCTTGTCTAAACTGCTAAGTCTCTTGTGTATAATAATCCCTGAGCAGGGATATGTGTAATAGTTCCCTGAACAGGGAAGTCAGATGACTCTCAAGGTACAGAAAAGCGTGTTAGATTCATTGCCGTCAATTTATTCCAGCAATAATGTAATTTTCTTTGCCAAGATGCTTTTTGATATCAGGGAAAAAAGAGTTGAACAGCATAAATACAATTAATTACACAGTAGATTTTTGAACCAAAGTGATCTTGTGTTACAAGTCTTAAGTAGAGATTTACCCAATACTGAAATTTCTGCTGTAATTAAATTCAGTCCCTTCAGGAAAGTGATTAATGATGCCATAGGTGAAGAAATTCAAATGTGAAATACAGTAAAATATTTATAATCTTCAGTCATCACTTTAAAACATGTTCACATTGGAATTTCTCTACTTGTTTTGCTATTGAAACTGATACATTTAAATTGAGTGAAAATAATTGAGGGGTTTTTTTTTAAGTTTTAAGTCATCAAGGCTCTTTCCAACATAACAGTAATTTATTTTAAATTTTAACATAACTCTTCCTCTGAAATGTTTCCTTGTTAGCATAAGCCCTTGCAGATTTGTGAAGCTAAGTCAAGCCTACATTTACACACCAGACATAATCCAACATACTAATGAAAAAAGGTGAAAAAATTGTTAGTATATGGACATGAGCTTTGCTCATAGGAACATGAATGCAAATGTGCCATCCACAAGAAACTCCCAATAATATCCACTACAAGGTTTGCTGGCATTTGTGCAACTTTTTTTTTTTTTTAAATTATGGGTTATAACATTGGTCTAGGATAGAATAAGCTGTTTGTGTCTAGGAGAGCAATGGAATCATGAACAAAAAGAAAAAATCTCTAAATGGTATGTTTTGAGGCTATTTTTTTTATAGACTTTCTTAAGAAAATGGAAAGTAAATCTGAACTCATCCTAGAGCAGCTCAAATCATAACACATGAAAAATTACCATACTCACCAGAGAACACTGAAAATAAACACCCTAACATGCAAATTAAATATCAAGATATTTTATAAATATCCTTTTAGTAGAAATGACATTAGACTGGAGTTAATTAAAAACTGAGAGATTGACAAGGGGAAAGAAAATCCATTAAGTTTTTGCACTTGAGAAATTCTGACAGCCCCTTGCCTGTGACAAAGTTGATCTAGGAACAGGTGTGAGTACAGAAATGAAACATGTTGAGAAGAAAGCTACTCGGAGAGGAGACGCCTGCCTCCCTCCTGAAAGCTGCTGGAGAGATGATGGTACTGCCAAGGATTTTATAGTACTTCAGGGGGGTTTTACTCATGTTTAAGCTACTGAAGTGAGCCTCTGAGACGGTGCAATTGAGACAGTTGTTGGTGGAGACTCTTTTTCTAATTTTTGCCACTGTACACAATAGCTAATAAAAGTTGGATTAATATTAGATAATAAGGAATAATCAGGGTAGTACTGATTAAAAAACACTATTGATAAAGCTCCTCTTCTTCCTCTTATGAAAAAATGAAATAAAAACTGGTGGTTTACGTTCTAGATAAAGACTAAAGAGTGAGATGACAAAGAGTAGAAATTTTTAATAAAATTTCAGTACTTCAAAAGCTTAAAAGTGTGGTCCTGGCAGAACTTGCATTTAGTATGTTTACTAGTGAACTAGAATAAAAAAAAATGTATTCATCCTAGTCGTGTTTAGAAAAATTTGAGGGTTTCAGAGACTCAGAATCACAGAATCACAGAATAGTAGGGGTTGGAAGGGACCTCTGTGGGTCATCTAGTCCAACCGCCCCGCGCAGCCTGTTCCAGTGCTCCGTCACCCTCAGAGGGAAGAAGTTCCTCCTCATGTTCAGACGGAACTTCCTGTGCCTCAGTTTGTGCCCATTGCCCCTTGTCCTGTCACTGGGCACCACTGAAAAGAGCTTGGCCCCATCCTCCTGACACCCACCCTTCAGATATTTGTAGGCATTTATAAGGTCCCCTCGCAGCCTTCTCTTCTTCAGGCTGAACAAGCCCAGTTCCCTCAACCTCTCCTCGTAGTGGAGATGCTCCAGTCCCCTCACCATCCTTGTAGCCCTCCGCTGGACTCTCTCCAGTAGCTCTTCATCCTTCTTGAACTGGGGAGCCCAGAACTGGACACAGTACTCCAGATGAGGCCTCACCAGGGCAGTGTAGAGGGGAAGGAGAACCTCCCTTGTCCTGCTGGCCACACTCTTCTTGATGCACCCCAGGATCCCATTGGCCTTCTTGGCAGCCAGGGCACACTGCTGGCTCATAGTTAACCTGTCGTCCACCAGGACACCCAGGTCCCTCTCTGCTCTCCAGCAGGTCCACCCCAAGCCTGTACTGGTGCATGAGGTTGTTCCTCCCCAGGTGCAGGACCCTGCACTTGCCCTTGTTGAACCTCATCAGGTTCCTCTCTGCCCAGCTTTCCAGCCTATCCAGGTCACGCTGAATGGCAGCACAGCCTTCTGGTGTATCTACCACACCTCCCAGTTTGGTGTCGTCAGCAAACTTGCTGAGGGTACATTCTAACTCTTCATCCAGGTCGTTGATGAAGAAGTTAAACAAGACTGGGCCCAGTACTGACCCCTGAGGGACACCACTTGTCACCAGCCTCCAACTAGACTCAGCGCCGCTGATGACAACCCTCTGAGTTCTGCCATTCAGCCAGTTCTCTATCCACTTCACCGACCACTCATCCAGCCCACACTTCCTCAGCTTCCCCAGGAGGATATCATGGGAGACTGTGTCGAAAGCCTTGCTGAAGTCAAGGTAGATAACATCCACAGCTCTCCCTTCGTCTACCCAGCCAGTCATGTCATCGTAGAAAGCTATCAGATTGGTCAGGCATGATTTCCCCTTGGTGAATCCATGCTGACTACTCCTGATAACCTTCTTTTCTTCCACTTGCTTCATGATGGCCTCCAGGATAAGCTGCTCCATCACCTTTCCCGGGATGGAGGTGAGGCTGACCGGCCTGTAGTTCCCTGGGTCCTCCTTCTTGCCCTTTTTGAAGATTGGAGTGACATTGGCCTTTCTCCAGTCCTCGGGCACCTCTCCTGTCCTCCAGGACCTCTCAAAGATGATGGAGAGTGGCTCAGCAATGACATCCGCCAGCTCCCTCCGCCCTCGTGGGTGCATTCCATCGGGGCCCATGGATTTGTGGACATCCAGATCGCTTAAGCGATCCCTCACACAGTCCTCCTCAACCAAGGGAAAGTCGTTTTCTTTGTAGGCTTCTTCTCTTACCTCCGGGGCCTGGGATTCCTGAGGGCCAGTCTTAGCACTGAAGACTGAAGCAAAGAAGGCATTCAGTAGCTCTGCCTTCTCCGCATCCTCCGTCACCAGGACACCCGCCTCATTCAGCAGCGGCCCCACGTTGTCCCTAGCCTTCCTTTTGCTGCTGATGTAGTTGAAGAAGCCCTTCTTGTTGTTTTTGACATCCCTTGCCAGCTTCAATTCCAGGTGAGCCTTGGCCTTCCTCGTCGCATCCCTGCATGCTCTCACTACGTTTCTGTACTCTTCCCAAGTGGCCTGTCCCTCTTTCCACATTCCATGGACCTTTCTCTTCTGCCTGATCTCCGCTAGAAGCTCCTTGTTTAACCATGCAGGTCTCCTGCCTCCTTTGCTAAATTTCTTTCTCAGGGGGATGCATTGCTCCTGTGCATGGAAGAAGTGTTGTTTAAAGAGCGACCAGCACTCATGGACCCCCCTGCCTTCGAGAGCCCTGGCCCACGGGATTCCTCCCAGTAGCTCCTTGAAGAGGGCAAAGTCAGCCCTCCTGAGGTCCAGGGTTTTGATCCTGCTTATCTCCCTGCTTCCTCCACGCAGGATCTTGAACTCGACCATTTCATGGTCACTGCAGCCGAGTCTACCTCCAACCTTCACGTCCTCCACCAGTCCCTCCTTGTTTGTTAACACGAGGTCCAGCAGCGCGCCTTTCCTTGTTGGTTCCTCCACCACTTGCATCAGAAAGTTATCATCGATGCTCTGTAGGAACCTCCTGGATTGCGCCTGCCTAGCTGTATGGTCTTCCCAGCTGATGTCAGGGTGGTTGAAGTCCCCCATGAGAACCAGGGCCTGTGACTGTGAGGCTGCTTGCAGCTGCCTGTAGAAGGCTTCATCAACCTCCTCCTCCTGGTCGGGTGGCCTGTAGTATACACCCACCGTAATGTCACCCGTGTGAGCCTGTCCCTTAATTCTAACCCACAAACTTTCAACTCCTTCTTCACTTGCCCCCAGGCCAAGCTCAATGCATTCCAGTTGCTCCCTCACATATAGAGCAACTCCCCCTCCTCTTCTTGTTGGTCTGTCTTTCCTAAAGAGTCTGTAGCCATCTATGACAGCATGCCAGTCATGCGAGTTGTCCCACCACGTTTCTGTGATGGCGACCAAGTCGTAGCCGTCCTGCTGTATAATGGCTTCCAGCTCCTCTTGTTTATTGCCCATACTACGTGCATTGGTGACTCCTAGGTGACTCCTAGGTGAGCAGCTTGAAGACAAAAGATGTTACTGGTCAAAAAACTCCTAGGTGAGCAGCTTGATGTTACTGGTCAAACTCCTAGGTGAGCAGCTTGAAGACAAAAGATGTTACTGGTCAAAAAAAAGAAC